TGTTGGTATTTGTTTCGTTGGTAGAAAAAAAAATTAGGAAGTGATAATCAAATGGATCTTTGATATACGCTAAGGGTTAACAATAACATATATAAATTTGTTCATTAATCATATTTAATATTAACGAAGATAAAATATTTATTTAACGTAGAACGTTAATTAAAAGGAAAGATACACATTAATCAAAAATATACATGAATCTTTTAATTTGTACTTTTTTTTTCTTTCTTTTTATTTGTTTCAAGACGTTCGATAACACGGACGTATTTCTTAACGATGTATACGATCAAAGTCGAGATAAATGGATCGAGAAATGTAAAGAAATAAATATAGTTTAAAGTTAAAAAGAAAGAAAGAAAAACGAATGTTAGTAAAAGAAATAACGATGGTAGACATTAATCCTTGTCGGTCTAGACGACTTTATCTGCATGCCTGCACGATCTCGTCGAACTCAAGAGGAAAACTAAAAAGAAATAAAGAAAGAGATAGAAAAAAGAAAGGGCTAGAGAGAGAAAGAAAGAGAGAAAAAGAGAGAGAGAGAGAGAGAGAGAGAGAGAGTGAAAGAAATATAAAAAGAAATAAAATGAGAGCTATGTGTATAAATATATAACATACATTTTATTGTATGTCTATTTTTACATTTCCCAACTTGCGTTTGAAAATACTTTGACTTCTTCAGCAGCAATATTCCAAAGATAATAATAACCTACTGGAAAATTTCTCTTTCTTTCACTCTCTCACTTTCTCTCTTACGTTTTACTTTATATTATTATTTTATATTCATTCTATTTCATATTAAATATAAATTTTAATTAATATATAAATAACATAAATTGATATACACCACATGGCTGTAAAACTGGGTTGAATAAAGATTATCTATCTATCTAATATAAATTAATAATATAATAAATGTATATCACATATATTTTTTATATGATTATAAAAAATCTTGGAATATTTATAAAATTCTTTTAAAATTAAATAAATAAAGGAAAAATAATAAATTAAAAAATAAATATATAAATATTATTATTAGATTATTATTATTTTCTCATAGCAATCATTAATCATTTTAGATAAAAAAAAAAATAAAATTTGTATTAATTATTATCTTAATTATTTATAAGGACAAGTAATTAATTATAAAATGAAGATAACGTTAGATCGAATATTCGACATTATTTTAAATATTAGTAGTTAGCGTGATTGTAAACATCAATGTAATGCTTTTCAAACAGGGTTCCTATCATAACACATAAAAATACACATACATACTTCTACATACGTAAAATGGAAGGATTAAAATAGCTTCTTATCAATATTTCAAAGTGGAATCTACTCGTTGCTTCTCGCAACGTCACTTTGAACGGCCCATCGTGAAATATTCAGGAGGTACTCTTGGAAAAACAAAGCTATCGAAGATATAAGCATGTGTATGTGTATAATATGTGAGAGTGTAAAAGATAGAAAAAGAAAGAAAGAAAGAAAGACAGAAAGAAAGAAAGAAAGAAAGAAAGAAAGAAAGAAAGAAAGAAAGATAGGGAGAGATAAAAATGAGAAAAAAAATTTAGAAAGATCTGAAAATTGTTCTAGATATAGAGAATATGATGAAAGAGAGTGAATGAGAGAGAGAACATTTGAATTTGAATTTGAATTTGAATTTGAATTTCTAAAGGAATTCTATGAAAAGGGTTAAATAGCCCTATTATAATGGAACGTGGCCTCATTACACACAGGTTGGCTTATTTATCAAATAACACATAATGTATTATAATATAGAATAAAATATATAATATAAATATAATATATAATATAAAATATAAATAAAAAACATTTCGTGAAAAAAATAAAAAATTAACTTAGGTCACTCTCGAAATAAACTACTTATTTATTTATTTATTTATAAAAAATATACAAATCAAAATCTATACAATTTTATATGATACAATACATATCTAAATGTTTAACAAAAAAAAAATACATTTTAATACCTTATCGTCGGTGACACTAATGTCACACACTAATATTGATAATATAATAATGTTAATAAATATTATTAATTTAATATAATTAAACATAGATATATTCCCACCTTCATTTATTTCAAAACGATGATCAATTTATTCCAGTATATTAGTTAATTGTTTACGAAGAAAATTCTGACGATTTAATTGAAGTCGATGCCCCTTTTCTATTTCGAGGTATTGCAACGCTATTTAATTTTCTTCGAGAATTGTTTTCTTTTTTTTTTTTCTTTCTTTTTTCATTCGTTCGTTCAACTCATTATCAATCCTGAACGTCATGCGAGTTTGCTAAATGCATTATTCAACATTTAACGACACTTACGTCGTATGCTGTGATACGCGGCGCATTTACTCATTGTCAGTAAGTAAATATATATAGGATGTTTCATAAAATAATATAAATACTTCAATAAGATATATTAAGAGAATAAAACTAATCAAAAACCATATACGATCTTATATGTCCAATATATTTCAATTTCTGAGTTATTGATAATTAAAGATATCGAAGTAAGTATCCAATTTTTAGATAAACAAAAGCTACTGTATAACTTATTTAGCACGTCTCAATCTTATCTAAGAATTGCAAATAATGTCTATCGACATGAAGAACAAAAAATTATATCTAACTGATATCTTATTATCGCTAAAAGTGTTAACGAAACTCAATAGTATTCAGAAATCGAGTAAATGGTTTCGTCTAGTTATACTGAAGTGATCAAAACAGATTAAATAGATATCCGGAATTGAAGCAAAAATACGTTGATTATATCAAGATAACTTCCCGGAAAGTATAATACAATTCCAGATCGTGAAATATTTTCATCCATTTATAGGAATGGTTGGGGCAATGGTTGAGAGCTTCCTAAGTACAACCTTTGGCCTAAATGTACTATATCTCTTATACCTTAAATAGTATTCAAACATTATCCACATTTTTTCCCCCTACTCAACTTGCCCCGTCTATTATAAAGTGAATAACTGGAGAAGTAGTAATATTAAATATTTAAAAACAACTATGTTGTTAAACATTACTTAAAGAAAAGAGTTTATATCAAATATTTAGGTCACAGTTGTATTCTGGGATTCGAACCCAAAACCTGTCGCTATCCGAACGAATACTCGAGCTACTTGAGCTACGAAGACCTGTATTCGAGACTCTACATAATTAGATTTATAAATAATATAATTTTTTATAGGTATGTGACGAATAATGTATATATTTCGGATGGTGTGTATAATAAGCAGATATTTCACAGATTGTTTGATCATTTTATAAAATGTCCAGAGAGTTTTGGTTAATCTATAAAATATCCTTTTATATATAGAAATGTACATATATATTTACTTACATCCTTGTATCTATCAGTACTCTTTTATTTTTTTACCTACATACATACTTACATACATATTTACGTATTTATGGTCACCATGTTCTTCTTCGAAGCGTAGAGATAGATAACTCATGAAATATAAGTGGTTAGTCTAATAACACTAAAGAAAATTACTGTTCGTAGGCGATAATCGTGAAACGGTATTGCGTGAGAACATATCCTTCTGAATTGAGAGAACTTAATGTGTCAGAATACTTAAAGGAAGTTCCGTGTATGTATTCATGTAGAGATGAAACCGTTTACTTCAATGGTTAACGTCTCCAGCCGATTAAATCTGACCGTTACGCGTGCGCATTGCACCAATAAACTGTAAAAGTTGCATAGACTCAAGCTAGAAGATTTTATGAAGAATTATGTTCAACATACTGCATTCCATTTCTTTTTTTTTCTTTTTCTTTTATTTCTAATCCATTTATTGAGAAGAATACAATTTTTTAAAACAAATGTAGTTCACTCTGAATTCTTGTAAATTGAAATTTATTAATTTTTTTTGTAATAAGCTTTATTTATTAATGATTATTAATTTTTTTAATAAGAAATTTACATTATTAACTGTAAAAGAACAAATTAAATATTAAAAAAATAACAGGTTTTGAAAAAGTATGTAATACCATTACGTATACATTTAATATAAAAATTCTTATTCGTAGATGCAAAAGACAATTAAATAAGATTTTTATTTATAGTCATTGATCATTGATTGTAATTGATAATTATCTGAATTATATATATATATATGTAATTACTAAAAAATATATAATTTTTTTATTTACGTTTATTACCTAGAAAATAACATATTATATAACATATTAAGGAAACGCATAGCATATAAATTCAAACTAGACAAATATATTCCTATTATTACAATATTTTTAATTTCCGCAAAGAAACTCCACAACAGGATAGATTTTTATCAATAATCATTAATTATTAATTATCATCGATAATTCTTTCAAGATAATAATTTAAAAAACACTAACAAATATATCTTCTTCATCATCGTCAATTTTTATTCTGTAATAAAAAATAATGACTTATACCTTATATTACCTTTATCTTTAATAAAAGAACAAGATAAATGTGTACATTTATATATAAAAAATATGAAAAAGTACATAAGAAACGTAATTACTTGAAAGATATTAATTAAGAAGAGTAAAACTCGTAACCCGTTTCTTTTCAGGTATAAAAACCACTCAAGATAATCGTAAGAACGCGGCAAAGTATAGCAACCAATAGGTTTATCGGTTGACTTGTCACGTGGGGATTCGGTCACATGACATGCTTGACTCGGTGGCGCGAACATAGGAGTCGCCCTCAGCGCTAGACGAGCGCTCAGTTGATTCGGAGACCTCGTGCGGGTAGGATTGATTATTGACATATTCAAATTTGAGTCATTAAACACATCGTTTAATTATTAAACTCATTTTTAACATAATACAATAATTAATAATTAATAATCTACATTATTTTCTTGTAGAATTGTGTTTCTTTTTTATTTTAATTTGTTTTCTTATTTTATTTTTTTAATTATGAATTAGTTTGATATTCATAAATATTTTTTTTTATTTTATTAATAATGTAAAATGTAATATTATTTGAATGGTGTAAAACAAAAAGAAAGTAAGGAAAGAGGAGAGAGAAGAAAATAGTGAATGCGATTAAAGACGTGTGCCAAATTAGAAACACTCGCTTATTCATCGGATATACCCAGGTATTTTGTACTTTGTTCATATCATGTTTAAAATCAAAGAAAATAATGACATTTATGCGTGTTATAAAAACGTTATAATTTTAACTAACATTTTCACTTATACATATATATACATACATTGCATACATTCGTGTAAACGTTATAAATGATCGTAGTTAACTAAGGTTACATTTTAATTCTTTTAAATAAATCATTCGAATATTTATTTCATTTTAAAAGATTACTAAATTGTTTAAAAATACTAATTTGTTCATGTCATTTTGATGATTTTTAATTTTTTTTTTTTAAGTAGCATATAGAAACAATAGATTTCATATACCTGATTGAAAGTAAATGTTTTAAGAAAAATGATAATAATTAATATTGTTATAACTTGAATAGCAAAAAAAACTCGTTATCTTGCACTTATTGTTAGTCAAAACAAGTACATGATGAATCTCAATCGTTAAATGCATATATTAACCTAAGGGTTAATTGGATATAAGTAAGTAATTTTTTTTTGTTCATGTTATGTTCAGAAAGAATAATGACACATAATAAAATGATTGTCTTTGTTTTAACTAATGTTTTTTTTCACTTTTTACATGCACAAAGTGCATAATGTACAACTATAATCAAATCATGTTAAATTTAGTTCATTTATCATAGTATTAAATAATATAAAAATTGTATTTCTTATATCTGTATTTTATATTTCTTTTATTTTATATTTTATATTATTTTTATTTTATATTTTTATATATTTCTTATCTGTATTTTTTTTTTTTTTTGAGTAATATAAAATTATATTTTTTATAAGAAATATTGGTAGTTATTGTAAATTAAAAAAAAATTCATAGATATTTATTTATTTACACCCTTTTGCCCAAATAAATGAACAACTTGGTTATATATAATATTTGATATAAAAAACATTTAATAAACTAAACTAAAACATTATAAAGTAAAATTATTTTTAATTTATATTCAATATCACACCTTTAAAATAATATCTGTTTTATTTTTTCGATTCTATTTCTTTGAAATAATTTCAAACATTATTATTTGACTACTTTACACATTACAAAGGAGAATCAACTAGAATCCACTTTATGAAAACAAAATCCAATTCATGACAATAATATTTGTACTAACGTACTTACAATGAATGAACAACTAGAAACTACTCATAAAAACAATAACATTTACTCATCACCTATTTCAATCTCCCCTTTTCGTTCTTTCTGTTTATAAAACCCGACAATCTATTTTCTTTCATCTAAATGATAGAATTTCAGCAAGATAAATAAATCAATCAACGTATAGAAAAGTAAATTAATAAAAATGTAAAAAATGAGAGATTATTATGTTCATTTATCACGTTTGCAAATATACGTATAAAACAAATTATTTATAATATGATTATTATTTTATTACTAAGCTCTTTCTTTTATTTTAAGCATTGTGTGAAGAACAATAAAAATTACCTAGCAACTTTAAGTTAAATAAATAATTTAAAACAACTGCAAATATTATTGAAATAATACAAATACTAATTATAAAAAATACAACGTTTGTTTTACATATAAAAAAATACAAATATTAAATTTAAATAATTTCATACAAATATGTATATTTATTGTAATAAATTGCTAATAATTAATTATTAGTATAAATTTATAATATTTAGTTATTATTATTTAGTTAATAAGTTAATAATAATAATTATTTAATTAATTATTATTATTAATTAAACAAATATTACTGAAATAATACAAATTCTAATTATAGAAAATGTAACGTTTGTTTTATTTACAAAAAAAAATACAAATATTACTTTAAATAATTTCAAACAAATTTTACAATAAATTGCTAATAATTAATATTATTTTTAATTAATTACAACAAATATAAATAACATTATAATTATATCAAACAAATGATTTTTGTATGTATAATAAATAATAATATAATGTTCACGCGAGTTTGATCAGGTGCGGGTGTGTTTACGATAAAAAAAAATGTCACGGATGAAAGAGACGGTGAAAAAGAGAAAGAGAAAGAAAGAGAGAGAGAGAGAGAGAGAGAGATAAAGATAAAGATAGTCAGATAAAAAAGAAAGAAAGATAATATTGCGTTTCACGCGGTTGGATGCTGCGTCGTGCTTTGCCGGCTAAACTCGTATAGTGTAAAATGAGCGCACAAGCACACTCGAATAAAAGTGCATTACGTCAGACACTTTTTCAGGAATTTCAATCCTCTCAAATTTCCATCTAGATTTCTCTCTTTTCAGTCATTTTAAATAAATCAGTCTAATTCTTTGATTTTGATTCATAATTAGATCAATTAAACTAAAGACAAATATCTAATGTATTCAGAATTCAACTAATTTCATTATAAATCAATCAAATTATATGTGCCAGTAATTATAAGAGTGTACTAATATAAAACAAAATTGACAGTATTGATTTTTTAATTTATTGGTCATATTAAAGTCTTTTCATATTTCATATATTTATTTAATTAAAAAAAAAAAGAAAAAAAAATATTTATAGATTTATTGACCAATAAAATATAATTATAAATAATACTTTATATGTTATTATAAAATGTACATAAAATAATATAAAATAATATTTATAATATCTAATTATAATATGTAATTAAATTTAAAATTGATCATATTAAATTTAAAGTAGTATTTTAAAATTATTTAATAACATTTATTTAAATTTATTTATTTTAATTATTTTAATAAATAATTAAAATTATTTTATAAATTTTTAATTTATTTATTTAAATTACCATATTTTAAATAATAAATAATAAAATTAAATAAATATATATTATTATAGTATTTTTATAAATTTATATTATAATTATATTATATATTATATTATATTAATTTTATTATAAATAATAATTAATTTAAAATTAAAAAAAATAATAAATCATATTTTAAATAATAAAAAATAAAATTAAATGAATATATAATATTTTTTTAAATTTATATTATAATCATATTATATTATATATTATATTATATATTATATTATATATTATATTATAATTATATTATATAATATATAATATAATATAAATACTAATAAATGAAATTAAAAAATCAATCAGTACTGATCTAATTTAATATAAATAATTTTCCTTTAAAATAAAATTTAAAAAAATTCTTCTTTTTTATTTTGTTTAATTTTTAGACATTAATGTGTCACAGTTACTGACACTTTTAATTAATTCTGAACTACTTTTAAAATACAACAATATATATTATCAAGAAATTTACAACCCAAGGGTAAAATAAATTTAAAAAAAAAAAAATAAAAGAAAGAGAGAGAGAGAGAGAGAGAGAGAGAGTGGGAGCTAATAAATATCATATTGAATTCAAGATCCTAGTTTATCCCTGACCATGCATATAAAATGTTAAATCAACATAAGAGTGGTTTTGCTTTTGAAAGCTTCTCGAATACATACCTCGAAGAAGCATGCTAGTGTTGAAGAAAGAGAAATAGATAAGTGTGTGGAGGGTTCGAGGAAAACTAGAATACGAGGGAGAGAGAGAGAGAGATAGATGAAACGACGAAGCAAGGTCATTTTAAATCGTTCTACCTGTCAGTCAGTGTCGCAATAAATGCAGCTGATGTTCGAGTAACTGTTCCGAGCAATAACATTCCTCACTAAGAGGAAGAACCAAAGTCTTTTTTTTTTTTTTTTTAATATTTTTCTTTTCTATTTTTCTTTCTATTTATTATAATTATTATTATTTCTTCTTACTTTTTTTTGTATCCTTTCTTTATTCTTAACAATAAGACAATTTTCCTCATACATCTTTCAGCATCACGTTCGTTTCAAAGTCCCTCATTTATTTATTTTTTTTTCTTTCTATTTTTTAATGTGTGTAAAAAAAAAGGTAAAAGAAAATAAACAGAAAAATCAGCTGTCGTTAAGTTGGGTTTTTTATTTTCTTTTGTATATTTAATGCCAATTAATAATAATAATAATAATAATAATAATAATAATAATAATAATAATAATAATATTTTATAAAAATACCTACCTTTTTTAAAATTATTTTTATGAAAATTTCGGTGTCAGTCCTATTTTTTATTTTTATATTTTTCTTTTACTCGCATCGAAGTAAAAAAGAGAAAAAATATTATCATTAGATCATATATCCTTTTGTTAATAATATTTCAACTAGGACGTTTGTAGGAAAATTTCGGTGTCCTCACATTTTCGTATTTTGTTTTTTTTTCTTTAAAAAATGTAAAATTTGTTCATCAGATTGAATAATAAAATTTCTCTATGAAACATTTTCATACACAGAATCGTATTTTTTGTTTTCTTTTTTCAGAATGAACTCACGTCTAAAAATAAAATAATTTTGTTGTTATTCTTCAAAGTAAAAGCCTCTATCGTAGAACTGAACTAACGATCAGCTGTTTCTATGCAAGAATTTGATTCTATTTCAATGTAAGCTATCAACGAAGACACAAACATTATCAGATTAGATAACAATTTATCTATGCGAATTGTTTTTTTTTATTTTATATCATGATTTTCTCATCTAATATTTAGTTTTTTTTTTTATAAAAAAAGAAACAAACTCACAATCAGATGTTTCTATCAAATAATTTTGTTCTATTTCAAAGTAAACTTCCACGTAGTAAGTGGTAACAGACTTGTCTGTTTATATCAGATTAGATACAAAATATTACGGTGTAAAATTTTTCTATTTGACGTTGTAAATTTTTATTTTCATTTTCAATTTTATAAGCATACATTTATTTCTGATAAAAACCAAGCTCCTAATCAACTGTACAGTTGAAAAAAAAAGAAAAGAAAAAAATTGTCAATAAATTATCATAAAAAGTATACCCGCTTGTGTTTATTACATTCGATAAAAAAAAATAGTTCAACGTGAACATTTTTCATTAATCCTTTGAGTATTAAATTATTTATAGATTTTTATGCTTATATAGTTTATTTAATTTGTTGCTATATGG